CCTCACATATCAAATAAGCATAAAATCTTCCCATAAAACCAAATAAATGCTCACGACCGGGGTTACTACAAAGAGATGAACAGCAGGTTATGCTCTCGGCCAGGGCGACAAAAAGGAAAGGGGGGAGCTATTAAAGCTCACGGCTAAAGCAACCCAAAGCCAAAAGAGGCTCACGGCTAAAGGCAGCAAGGGACAGCTGCTAAAACCCACGACCAAAGGCAACCCAAGGCACAAGTGAGGCTCACGGCTAAGGCAACCAAGAGAATCATCAGTGGCTACTATATTCCTTCGGCATACATAAGAGGATAAATGAGATAATTGTATTTTTTTTTTGGGATGGCGAACTTGATTCGTCGCCATTCAAGCCCAACTAGAAGGACCGAATCACACCAAACAAACTCCAATAGGTCTCACGAGTAGGGACTATAAGAGGAGCAAATCCCAATGGTGAGCTCACGGACAAGACCAAAGGGGAAGGCTAACTCAACCACATCACAAACCCATGGCTAGGGACCAAGCAAACATCAAACTGCAGTCTTATACACTTCCAAAACCCTAGGAGTTAAGGCCAATGGAAATCAGAACCCAAACCACCCCTGGGGTAGGGGCAGGACAAGGCAAAACCGAGCCACAGCTAAGGCTCGAACCCAGGCCACAACAAGGACTAGAAAACATCTCTATGCCTTTAAGACATCAAAATATTGGACGACCATATGTCTCAAACAAGAACAGCTATGGAAATCCAAATTCAAAATAAACTTTTCCACAATATGTATAATCAAGCCAAAGGACATTCACAAGATGCCAAAACCGAGCCCAACAGGGGCCAAAGCAAATGAAACCGAACCCTCCCACAACTATAGAGCAGGGATAGGAATAAACACCAGAAACGGGCTCTCGGATAGGAGCTAAAGCAAGCAAACCGAGCCCCCAAACAGAGCCAAAAGAAAACCCTTCAAAGCTCATACGTGAAGTTTAAACAGTTAGTAGGATGTTCTAACCAAAACCAAAAGCCCATCCTCAACAAAAATTAACATCCCATGCCCCTGCAATGAAAACCAAATGCCCACAAAGACCCAAATCCGAGCTGCTTAAGGCCAAGACAAAGCCTGAGCATAGATTAAAATCCAATCTTTAGCAGAAATTAAAATTCCAGTCGCTTCAAGATAAAATCGAACCATTCAAAGCCAAGGGACAGCTCACGAGCTTTTGAAATATCAAGATATAGAGCCAATATATGCCTTAAGGAAGAACAATAACATAGATTGTATATTTAGGCCCCTAACTTGAGTATTTCGAACATGAAACAACTTCCAGCAGGTATTTAAACAAAAGGATGTTTCATGAGGAGCTAGACCAAGCCCTCGAAACAGGTTGCAGAGCTTTCCAAATTAAATAAATTTTTTTTGTATAACGTGCATTTCGAGTAAGGGAAAGCCACAGGAAGCCAAAACCGAGCCAAGCAAGGCCAAAACCCGAACCCAGCAAGGGTCGAAAACCAGGCTGCAATTGAGATTTAAAAGTTAGGCCACAATGAGAGTTAGAAAAATATTCCCATGCCTTTAAGGTATTCAAACTAGAACTACCACATGCTTTGAGTGAAAGTGAATGAAAGTTTCACAATACATATACCAACATGCTCATGAGAGGGGTCAAATTGTTTCAAGGGCATCCTTTTAATTGTTTCTAATATAAATATGTCTCAGAAGTTAGGAAACATGCCATGACTTCAGCACTTTAGATAAGCAAAGTAAAAGAGAGAATTAATAGCATGCCACATTGCTCAACCAAATCTAACTTCCAGCACT